AGCCTGTAATCACAGCACTTTGGGAGGCCGAGGCAGGTGGATCACGAGGTCAAGAGATCGAGACCATCCTGGTCAACATGGTGAAACCCCGTCTCTACTAAAAATACAAAAAATTAGCTGGGCATGGTGGCACGTGCCTGTAATCCCAGCTACTCAGGAGGCTGAAGCAGGAGAATTGCCTGAACCCAGGAGACGGAGGTTGCGGTGAGCCGAGATCGCGCCATTGCACTCCAGCCTGGGTAACAAGAGCGAGACTCCGTCTCAAAAAAAAAAAAAAGGCAGCTCTGATACAAATTTAGCCACTTCAATGTGACTCCCTCTAGATCCAAGGAAGCCAGTACTTATGAACACTTTCAGAGTCAGTACTTAATTTAATGTATCATAGTCGGAGAAAAGGATATTTTTTTTCTAACTCTCCTGGAGTAGCAAGATCTCAACTTTCCAAAACTTGAATCAACTATATTTCTTTTTTTTCTCCAGCCACTACTCCCCTAGCCTGTTCAACTACAGCTATGTTACCTGAACTGCTTTCTAGTCTTTCCCATAATTGTAATGATTAGAATACTAAGTTTCACAACCTATGAAGACTTCTGAAAGTATTTAAGGGAGGTGACTCCCAGGAGCACTTTCCCAGCACTTATTTGCATGTGTGTTTACCCCAGGCTTCCTCAGGTGTCCCAACTTGCAGCTACTCCTTCATCAGGAAATAGATTTCAATGTCTGCAGCAACCTGTGTCCCTTCTCTGTCTCCTTGTTTTATTGCTTCAGATTCAAACACATAGTTTTGGTACTTGGCAAATAGTTTTTTGTTTGTTTTTTAAAGAAAGACTACCACCCCAAGTCAGGGAGAGGAAGGTAAAGATTTTTAGTAAGATCTCACCTCTGATGTTTTTACTTGTTACTGTTGCTTTTTTTTTTTTTTTTTTTCGAGACACGGATTCACTGTGTCACCCAGGGCGCAGTACATGGCTCACTCACTATAGTCTTGACCTCCCCGGGCTCAAGTGATCCTCCAACTATAGCCGCATACTACTAAGCCAGTCTTTTTTTTTGTTTTCTGTATTTTGTGGAGACGACAGGGATTCGCCATGTTGCCCAGGCTAGTCTCAAATTCCTGGGCTCAAGTGATCCACCTGCCTAGGCCTCCCAAAGTGCTGGGATTACGGTGAGCCACTGTACCTGGCCTCCTGTTGCATTCTAATTGCCTATATTTGACTCTGAATAAAGCACTAAGCCTTTCAATTGCACTGTTGTTACTCAGTTCATAAATCCTCTCATTGGTCACCCTTAGATTAAAATCACATATCTAAACTGGTTTGAGAAGCCAAGGCAGGTGGATCATTTGAGGTCAGGTGTTCGAGACCAGCCTGGCCAACATGGTGAAACGCTGTGTCTACTAAAAAATACAAAAATTACCTGAGCATGGTGGCATGTACCTGTAATCGCCAGAAGCTGAGGCAGGAGAATTGCTTAAATCCAGGAGGCCGAGGGTGCAGTAAGCCGACACTGTGCCACTGACCTCCAGCCTGGGCCACAGAGCAAGACTTAACCTCAAAAACTGGTTTTGGATATTGAAAGAAAATCATAGCCGGACGCAGTGGCTCACTCCTGTAATCCCAGCACTTTGGGAGGCCAAGGCAGGTAGATCACGAGGTCAGGAGATCGAGACCATCCTAGCTAACACTGTGAAACCTCATCTCTACTAAAAATAAAAACAAAAAAAAATTAGCTGGGTGTAGTGGCACGTGCCTGTAGTCCCAGCTACTTGGGAGTCTGAGGCAGGAGAATTGCTTGAACCTGGGAGGCGAAGGTTGCAGTGAGCCAAGATCGCACACTGCACTCCAGGTGGGCGGCGGTGAGGCAACATCTCAAAAAAAAATCAAGTAAAAAGAAGAAGATAATTAAGAGATTGTCTGTTTCAGCATTTCCCTTATTTAGTTATTACATAATTAACTAAATCGTGGGACAGAAGAGATCATGGAGAATTATAAGAATCTAGAGTTTCTGTTCTTTAAAAGATAACCATAGACTTCTTTCAGCCGCCTTGAGAAGACGGTGCCTTGCTTCCCCTTCGCCTTCCACAATTACTGTTAAGCTTCCTGAGGCCTCACCAGCCACACTGAACTGTCTAGATGTTGATGGAATATATCAAGTTGGTGGCAATCTGGCAACAATACAAAAGTTAAGATTTATCGTCAACCAAGAGGAGAAGCTGAATTTGGAGGACAGCCAGTGGGAGGACATCCACGTTGTCACCGGAGCCCTGAAGATGTTTTTCTGGGAGCTGCCTGAGCCGCTCTTCCCGTACAGTTTCTTTAAGCAGTTTGTGTAAGCGATCAGTCACTTTTTCAGAGCAATAAACTCTTCAAGCTGAGCAACCAGCCAGGTAGCCTTCATGAGTCAGCTTCCCTAGCATCTTTACTTCTACTGAATAGACCTGCTTTAAAAATATATGTGTATAACAATATGCAAATTTTCTCCTCAAAAAAGCAGTTATCTTGACCTATTCCTCTAATGGTGGAATTGAGTGGCCAGTTTTGTTTTGTTTTTTTTTCTTTGCCTGTTATCAAGTTCACTGCATCAATAGATTATAATAAAATTGACGGTTGGGAGGTCTTCTATCCTACAAAAAAAAAAAAAAGAGATAACCATAATATTTCAAAGATATCTATGGGATCCAAAGTGGTTTTGTGAAGTGTACACATTACCTTTATTGTAAATAAATTCACAGCTTTATTTTTCAAGCAATACTAGGATGTAGGAGAAGAAAAGGATGTTCCAGTTTTATAACACAGGAGAGAGAAGCTGGTATTGAAGAAGTAAAGAATGATGGATAAAAACCACAATGAGATGTCACTTCAAATCCCCTAGGATGACTATATTTAAAAAGAAGACAGAAAACAATAATTGGTGAGGATATGAAGAAATTGGAGCCCTGATCAATTGCTGGTCGGAATGGAAAATGGTACAGCCACTCTAGAAGACAGTTTGGCAGTTCCTCAAAGAGTTGGACATGGAATTACCATATGACCCAGAAATTCCACTGTTAACTATATACCTTGAACACAAATGTTCATAGCAGCGCTACTCACAATAACCAAAAAGTAGAAATAACCCAAATGTTCATCAGTAGATAAATGGATAAACAAAATGATATATCATTTGGCAGTAAAAAGGAATGAAGTGCTACCCATACTGCAACATGGATGAAACTTGAGAACATGCTGAGCGAAAGCAGTCACAGAAGACCACTTATTGTATGATTCCATTGATACAAAATGTCCAAAATAGGCAAATCTATAGATAGAAAGTAGATTCATGGTTGCTTAGGGTGGAGGCTATGGAACAGTGAGGTGGAGAGGTGACAGCTAAAGGATGTGGGGTTTCTTTGTGTGGCGATGGAAATGTTCTTAAATTAACGAGGGTGATAGTTTCACCTATCTGTGAATGTGCTACATATTATTGAATTAGTCAGTTTAAATGGTGAATTACATGTGAATTATATTTCGATCAAGCTGTTAAAACAAGCTTTTAAAAGAGTGATAGGAAACATTCAAGTCTTATAAATATACCGTGTATATATGTACATTTACTATATACATGTAAATATATAGATTATTCAATGTTATTATTAGGGAAAAGCATTAAACAATATGGCTTAAGTTTATTTTTAATACTCCATAATGAAAAAGTATGTAAAGTACTTTATAGGTATGACAATATTTCAACAAATATTTCTGTGTCTGGTTTATTCCTGACAATGTGATTGCTGCCATAGAGGACACAAACATTTACTATCTCTACTTCTCCCGTTCTTCTTGATCTATCTCTAATCAGGCTTTCACCCCACCACTCCTCAGAAACTGCTCTCGTCAAAATCTAGGGATTTTGCAGTGACTTCCACATTGCTAAATCTGATGGTCAATTCTTACTCCTCATCTCACTTGACCCTGAAGCAGCATTTAAAACAGTTGTCATTCCCTGTGTCTAGAAACCACATTCTCTTGACTCTCCTTCTATAAAACCTAAGTAGCCACTTCTTCCTAGTCCTTTATGGTTTCTCCTCACCTCCCCAAACACTGAATTGCTCCAGAAGTCCTCCTCTCTTCTTTATTACACTTACTCTCTTGTTGAACCCATTCTTATGGTTTTAAATGCCATCTATAATCTAACAATTTCCCCACTTTATACCATCAGTTTAGAAAACTCATATATTCAGTCCAAACTCATATCAAATTACCTACTTAGTATATTCTCTTGAGTGTCTAACGTGCTTCTCAAAATTAACATGTCTAAAACTGAACATAACCATCTTCCAAAACCTACTTCTTCAGCAGTGTTCCCTATTTCAGTTAATTTCTATTCTTCCAGCAGAACAGACTAAAACCTAGAGTCATCTTAGACTCCTCTTTCTTTCACATTCCATATCCTATTTGCTATGGACTGAACTGTGACCACCCTCCCCAAGGATTCATGTTAAAGCCTAACCGTTAGTGTGACTGTAATTGGAGACAGGACTTTTAGGAGAAAAGTAAGGTTAAATGAGGTCATAAAGGTGTTGTTTTGATCCATTAGGATTGATGGCTTTATAAGAAAAGATCTCTTTCTCTGTCCATGCGCATACACCAAGGAAAGGCTATCTGAAGACAGAGCAAGAAGAGCTTGGTTATCTACAAGCCAGGAAGAGAGTCCTCACCAAAACACAATCATGCTGATACCCTGATCTTCAACTTCCAGTCTTGTGCTGTTGAGAAAATCAACTTCTGTTGTTGAAGCCACCCAGTCTATGCTACTTTATTATGGCAGCTTGATCTACCTTCAAAACATATTCCGATTACAACCAGTCTCCCCAAATTCTGTTAGTACCTTAACTCAAGTTACTGTCATCTCTCACTTGAAATAGAGCAATATCCTCCTAACTATATACAGATGTCAATCTCCTCATTGAGATGCAGTCCATTACCCCTCTTGAAACTGAGCTGGCCTTTTGGCCCTTTGACCAATAGAATTTGAAGAAATGATGCTAAGCCAGTTCCAGGCCTAGCCCTTGAAGAGGCTTGACACCTTCTGCTTTAGCTCTCTTGGAACTTTGAGCCACCACTTGGGGATTCTGATTGCCCATTTGCAAGTGAAGCCTAAACAGCCCCCTTTCCTTCCAGACAACCCTCCTGAGGCACCAGACACATGAGTGAAGCCATCTTGGACATACCAGTCACAGCCAAACTCACTCCTGAATGCATCTGCATGATGAACCCAGCAATCCCCACTGTGGAGCAAAGAATCTATCCAGCCAACCCAAAGAATCATGAAAATAATAAATTGTTGTTTTAAAGTTCTTCAGTTTTGGGATAGCTTGTTATGCAACAATACATCATTGATACACTGGTCTTCCACTTACAAGTTTGATCAACTTTCAGCTATTTTTCCACATAGCAGGCAGAGTGATTCCATTAAGACATACATCAGATAATGTCACTGCACTAAGTAAACTCTACAAGGACTCTCACCTCCCTCAGAGTAAAAGTCACAGTTATTACAAGCCCCTACTAAAGGGACCCTTACCACCATTCCATTACCTTTTATCTACTGTTTGCTAACTTTGCTTTGTCCCCTTTTCTGCTCAGAAACAGATTAGGCGTGGTCCTGCCTCAAGGCCTTAGCACCATCTACTCTGTCTGCTTGGATTATTCTTCCCACAGATTTCTTGCTCCCTTCTTCCTTCATGAAGAAATGTCACCTCACTGAGGCCTTCTGTAGTACCAAATAATGGCCTTCAAAGATGTCCACATCCTTATCCCCAGAACCTGTCAATGTGTTCTCTTAATGGCAAAAGTGACTTTGCAAATGTGATTATATTTAAGGATCATGAGGTGGGAATTATCCTGGATTACCCAGGAGGGCCCAGTATAATCACAAGGGTCCTTATAAGTGTAAGGGGGAGGCAAGAGAGAGAAGGATATGTCATAATGAAGACAGATTCAAGTGACGAGATTACTGTCTGCGGTGAAGGTGGAGGTGGAGGGGGCATGATCCAAGGAATGCAAGAAGCCTCTAAAAGCTAGGAAATGTGAGGACACAGATTCTCCCCTAGAACCTCATGAAGAAACCCAGGTTTACTGACCCTGATTTTAACCCAGTAAGTCCCTTTTCCAAAATTGTAAGATAACAAATTTGTGTTGCTTTAAGCCAACTGAGTTTGTAATAATTTGTTATAGTAGCAATAGAAAACTAGCACACCTTCCTAGCCATCCTATCTAAAATGGCAGCCCATGTCCTTCCTGGCACTTCCTATCTCCCTTCCATGTTTTTTTTAAATCATATATATAATGTATTGTACTATTTTACTCACTGTCTTTTCCACTGGAAATCAAACTCCATGTAAATAGGGATTTGTCTGTTTTATTCTTTGTGATATCTCCACTGCCTAGGATAGCATCCACACATAATGCACACTTGGTACACACTTGTCAAATGAAGCCGGGCGCGGTGGCTCATGCCTGTAATCCCAGCACTTTGGGAGTCTGAGGTAGGTGGATCATCTGAGATCAAGAGC